CATATGACATCTGCCATTGCAGCTAGAGAATACAATAGGCCTTTGACCTGTTCTTATTGCCTTTCTCATCTCCTAACAGACAATTTGAACGACACAGAGGCAGTGGTCCAGTGGTCCAAGAGAGGTTTCTGAGCTTCCTATTTATTCTGGGGCCTTCATTTGAAATTCATATCAGACTTCTCAGCATCATTATTTTGCAAGGATGATAACAAATTACCTGCATTTTACATATGAGGGCCAGGAACTTCTCAGTGGGATATGAAAATAGGAAAGATTTTCTCATACAAATAACTGGGAAGAAGAGAAACAAAAGAGTCATTATGTAAGTGCATGGCTGGTCAAGGCAAGGCTGGTCAATGGGGGATTGTGATAGGCTGAAGAATGCTCCCCCACCCAAGTCCTAATCCTTGGAACCTGTGAATGTTACCTTTAGAGGTGGGTGAATAAGAATCTTGAGATGGGAGATTACCTGGGTGGGCCCTAAATGCAATCACAGCGGGAGGAGAAAGAAGGCCACGTGTCCACAGAGGCAGCGACTGGAGTGATGTGGCCACAAGCTAACTAATGCTGGTGGCCACCAGAAGCTGGAGAAGGCGAGGAATGGATTCTTCCCTGGACTCTCTTGAGTCCAGGCTGATGCCTCAGTGGGACTTGAAGACAGAATTGTGAGAATCCATCTTGGTGTTAAGCTGCTCACTTTGTGGTGATACATTACAGCAGCTGTAGGAAAACCAGTATAGAGTATGCTACCTCGTAGTGGGGAGCTGCTGGAACACATACCTAAAAAATGTGGAGGCGGCTTTAGAATTGGGTAAGGAACAGAAATTGGAAGTATTTGAAGGCACATGATAAGAAAAGCCTGGATTGCCTAGAACAGACTGTTGGCAGAAATAGGGATATCAGAGACTCTGTCAGCGAGGACTCAGTGAGGAGCACAGAGGTCAAAGCGGAGATTGTCTTAGAGAAAATGTAAACTGTCATAAACACAATGTTGCTAGAAATAGTAACCTAGCTATTGGCTAGGGCTGAGAAGAAGATGAGGCATATGCCTTTGGAAACTGGAGGAAAGATGATCCCTGTTATGTAGTAGCAGAAAAGGTAGCAGAATTTTGTTCTCTGGTTGAGTGGAAGGCAACACTTACAAGTGACGAACTTGGTTATTTCCAGAGGAGATTTATGTATTGAAGGTGTGGCCTGGTTTCTTCTTGCTGGTTATAGTAAAATGTGAGAGGAAATAGGCAAATTGAGGGGTAAATTCCTAAACAAAAAGGAAACCAGACTTGATGATTTGGGAAATTCTCATTTTGTTCAGATTGCAAAATTGTAAAATTAGGAGACCCACACGTAGTTGGGAAACTAGGCTGTGGAGAGAAAGAACCCCAAGAGTGTGTCTGGAAATTCTTTTGCTAGTGCTACAGAAATAAGGTGTCTGACTCATGGGTCTCTTTAACCACTTCAGCAGAAGCCGGGAATAGGGATGGGACTGTCCAGGAAAGATCTATGGAGGTTCATCCGTCTAATGGCATGAATCCTGTGACATGCACAGGAGACCCACAAGGGGCGCCTGGGTGGCTCAGTCATTAAGCGTCTACCTTTGGCTCAGGTCATGATCCCAGGGTCCTGGGGCTCCCTGCTCGGTGAGAAGCCTTCTCCCTCTCCCACTCCCACTCCCCCTGCTGGTGTTCCCTCTCTCGCTGTGTCTCTCTTTGTGAGATAAATAAATAAAATCTTAAAAAAAAAAAAAGAAAGACCCACAAGGTTTTTGATAACATTAGCAGAAATACTGCCACCTTGAACTGAAAGGGACAGAGGTGGATGAAATGGAGGAAGGCTGTTGGAATCCCAAAATTTTACAGGCCAGAAATAGCCTAATAAAATCACTCAGCTGCACACATGTTCTACTTTACAGAAAACCCAACCAAACCAAACCAAACCTAAGAATGACTCTGAGCGTGGAGCCCTGGGCCCCATGTTGGAGCTGTAAACTATAGTGGGTTATTTTTAGGCCTTGAAACCTAATGGAATCTACCCTGCTGGATTTTGAAATTTCTTGGGACTGTTGACTTATTCCTTTCCTTCCTCCCTTCCAGTTTATCCCTTTTGGAATGGGAACATCTGTAACTGTTGTTAAGGTCCAAACCCCTTGTATTTTGGAAGCAGGTAACACAGGTCCCAGATGGAGACGAATTTTGCCCCAGTATGGATCATAACCAGGGTGTCCCCATACCTGATGTAGAGGATTACATTTGGGATTTTTGAGCTGATGAGATACAGATGAGGTTTTGGACTTGGAGTTGATACTGTAATGGGCTGAGACTTGAGCTGATGTTGGGATATGGTGAAGGTATTTGGCATGTGAGAGAGACCTGCATCTTTGGGGCCAGAGGGTGGACTGTGGTGGGCTGAATAGTGCCTCCACCCGAGAAAAGATATGCATGTCCTCATCTCTAGAACCCATGAATTATCTTTTATGGAAAAAAGGACTTCAAAGATGTGATTAAGTGAAGATGGGGAAATTATGCTTTATTATCTAAGTGGATCCTAAATAAGTGTACTTACAAGCATGAAGCAGAGGGAGATAAGCCAGGATAGGAGAAGGTAGTGTGACCACAGAGGCAGAGACTGGAGTGATGCTTCCATAAGCCAGCGAATGCCAGCAGTCACCAGAGACGGGAAGAGGCAGGGGGCGGATTCTCCCCTTGACCATCTGGAGGGAGGCTGACACCTTGATTTTGGCCCAGTGATACTGATGTTGGACTGCTTGCCTCCAGAACTGTGAACAGATAAACTGGTGCTGTCTTACGTGGCTGTGTGGTGACTTGTTACCGGCAAGCATGGAAAACTGACCTAGACATGGGGGGAATCACAGGGTTCCTGCTTATCTGTGTATTCTTGTATTCTGTTTGAATATGAGCCATCCTTAAGATGACTGGTAGACTGGGTAACCATCAGGCTTTTATATTAGAAACTTGTACTACTCCTTCTATTTTAAAACAGTGACCGTCTATTTGAAGCCTAATGGCATTACGAAAACTGAGAACACTGGTAAATAAACACAAGGCTGGACTTGGGCTCTCAGCTATGCTACATAGTAGCTGGCTGTCTCTGGCTAAATCACTTACCCAATCGGAGTTTCAGTGGAACAATGGTGATATTATTCACGGTCCTCCCTGAACCATATAATTGTTAACGAGTATTTAATGAAATAGATGTATGTGAAAAATACCAGATAAATAATGTACGGTCCTATAACGTTCACCTATTAATTATACTCCTTCTAGCTATATCAAAGCTATGATGAGCAGTTTTGCACAGAAATCAGTGACCACTTTAAATATTTTTCGCCCTTGGAATTAGATGCTACCAGAGAGATTTTGGGTTCAAATTTTTGAACACTCTAAAGCTTTTGATACCTACCGATCTATTTCTCTCCAGAAAGGTTTGTACCACTTAACTCTCTGATTGGAGGCTCACGAGTGTTCCTTTTACTGCCCTGTAACCTCAAGAAGCTTTTACACATTATTTTAAAATGTTGTGTCAACTTGATGAAAATAGTTTGCATTTCTTTGGTGAGGTTTAACTTTTTAAGTTTATTGATCTTAAAGAATTGCTTTGTTCTTTGGCCATATTTCAAATAATTATTTGTTCTTTTCTGGGCTGGGTTTTAGAAACCCAGGTTTGTTAAGTTAATTAATCTTAGCTGTATTTTGTTTCTTCACCAATTTGTTGTGTTGTTGTTTACCTTTCACTTATGATGACTTTTGTGTTTAACCTTTGAATGTAGTTAAATTTAATGAACTTTTATTTCTTTCCTTTCTCCCTCCCTTCTTTTCGTCCTCCTTCCATCCTTCCCTCTAAAAAGTCTTTTTTTTTTTAGGTATGTAGCTTTGCCCTTAACTGACAATAAGGCATATTTTGAAATCCAGGATCCTGTCAACTTAATCTCAAATTACCTGTTGTCAAGCTTGGTCAAAAATAATATTCATAGATGATTGCCTGAAGGGTATACTAAATTTTATTTCTGGTCTTATTTTAAGTATATGCAGAAATTGAAGTAGAAGAAAGACTCAAACAGTTTATGCCTTACCACATCTCCACTAACTCCTTTCTCTGTGTCATCCTCTCTGTCCTCACCGTCCTTAGTAAGGATAATAATTCAACCATTTGTCAAGTGCTAATGCAGTGTAGCGTAACATACCTAACATTTTACACGTCAATAAGATATTGAACTGAAAATATTTGGGGGAAGGTTTAGAATTTCTTTAATTCTCAAAATGCTCCAATGACATTGTGTCCTTGTTCCCCCTCAGTTCAAGCATCTCACACATGTAATGTGCTTGGACCAGGGGGGGGTCATTGTGAAAATTTCAAAGCATCCAGAGGCTAGAGATAAGTGGGTTGGTCTTAATTTGGCATTTGTAATAAATGTCTCTTTTATAGTCTGTGATTGATGGCAGCCTGCTGTGGTGGATGTGTATGGTGCTTAAAAAACTGCTTGTCCTTTACTAGCATTTGGATGATTAATTATTATACCTGCTTTAAAATTATTAAATTTTAAAGAGTGAGAATTAGGTCAGTGGGAATAGTTCTTTCTTTCTTTGAAAAACTGGGGACAGTGATGGCATTCAGTGTCCGAGGATTATTTAGCTCTTAGAATCCTATCTATCAATTATTTGGAACTTAAAAAATCTGCAAGAGAACTAGGGAAGTGTAGCCTTTTCGGGAAGGTGAGACTAAAGGTCAGTGGTCACAGCTTGAGCTCATTGACTGTCCATCATCCTGTCCTCAGTACCTACTCACTGCCTGGCCTGATAATTTTTGATAAAACAAAACAAAACACAAAGCCCTGCTTGGTGTGCACGGAAGAGGGTAAGAATGAGAGCCAAGCAGAGAGGACAGTTTGGAGTCGGGCTGGCACACAGGTTGGGGGTGATGGAGAAAGCACAGTTGTCCCATGAAAACTGGCTCTAACAAAGGCTTGTTTCTGTGATTGTTTGCAGAACGATTACCACTTTGAATACACAGAATGTGACAGCAGTGGCTCCAGGTGGAGGGTTGCCATCCCGAATTCCGCGGCGGACTGCTCTGGCCTGCCCGACCCCGTGAGAGGCAAAGAATGCAGTATGTTCGGACGTTTGCACCGTTCGTTCCCCTGATTAAACTGTATCCCTTCAGCCCATGAAGTGAATGAAAATGAATATAAGAGACTTTGGGGAAAAGGAACATAGGCCATTGATGTCTAGCAGAGCAAAACCTTCTTTTTTTTTTTTTTTAAAGATTTTATTTATTTATTTGAGACAGAGAGAATGAGAGACAGAGAGCATGAGAGGGAGGAGGGTCAGAGGGAGAAGCAGACTCCCTGCCGAGCAGGGAGCCCGATGCGGGACTCGATCCCGGGACTCCAGGATCATGACCTGAGCCGAAGGCAGTCGCTTAACCAACTGAGCCACCCAGGCGCCCCAGAGCAAAACCTTCTTAACACTCGGTGCCCTTATGCCTGAAGTCTGTAATGAGACACAGGCAGAATTAGAGGATGCTATTTTTATTTATTTATTAAAAAAAAAACTGTTTAAAATCTGGTTTACCATCTCAGTTGAAACTTGATTTTTTTTCTTTACATCTTAAAAAAGTTTTCAAAAACTTCGGGAAAATATATATAACAAAATTTACCATCTCAACCATTTTTCTTTTAAAGATTTTATTTATTTATTTGACAGAGAGAGACACAGCGAGAGAGGGAACACAAGCAGGGGGAGTGCGAGAGGGAGAAGCAGGCTTCCCGCCGAGCAGGGAGCCCGATGTGGGACTCGATCCCAGGACCCTGGGATCATGACCTGAGCCGAAGGCAGATGCTTAACCGACTGAGCCACCCAGGTGCCCCCATATCAACCATTTTTAAGTGTAGAGATCAGCAGCATGAAGCACATTCACATTGTTGTGCTGTCATCATCAGCATCCATGCACAGATGGGTTTCTTTTGTTAAGCCTAAGAGATCATGCAATTTGTCTTTTTAGTGTCACCTACAGAGAGATGGTAGAATTGATGAATATCACATTCAGTAGCTTGTCTTAGCAGTAAACAGGTTGGAAGGGCAACATTATGAATGAATAGAGAAATAGGTTATTCAGTTTGTTTTCATTTGTAAGCTCTGCTTTTTTTAATCCTTTCATTTGGTGAGTGATTTGTACCTTCAGTGAAGTAGTATTGGGGTAGATTGGAGTTCAAAGCTGAAAGTAAGACAAAGAGAGGTTATTTTGGTTTTCCTGCCATTCCTCAAATGGTCTTCCTAAAAGCTTAGTTTTTCTGTTTCCAAATAAAAGAGCAGATAGATAAGCAAATTATTAAGTGGTAGTTAATTCCTTCCCATTCATAGAATGTGTCTCTCTTACTGGCGAGAGGAGTCTTAATAGGTGGTGGGTTTACTGAAAAAAGGGAGACAGGAAGACAGCAGGAGTCTCCTGGGGCAAATTAGAGGAGAAATCCAATATTTTTAGTAAATGATACTAAATGATTACAGAGAGAACCTGGGATCCCTGTAGCCAGGTAAAGAGTTCAGTCTAGCAAGACTGAAGAGGATAGTGGGGTCAGATTAGATAGAATAAGACAATACAAGCTGGGGTGTTCTCGGGCATCTCGGGCAGAAAGATGTCAGCTCTCAGTAAGGGAGGATTTGTGTGCAAAACGGAAACAGTCTAAAAAATACCTATGGAGTTAGCTTGTTGTAAAATGCTTCAGTTACTTTCCTAGAAAATCTGTATATTATTTATCTCTATTTACTTTTTACTTGCGGGCTAATTCTTTGGTTCCCTTGTAAACAACCCTGGGGGCGGGAGTGGACTACCTAACCATTACGAACACTGCTCCTTATGTAGGTGATGTGCTAACATTGGCTTTTTGAAAGCTGATTATTAGTTTGAAGTGGGCCTGGCCAGAGTATTTTACACCATGGAATTTGGCGAACACTACAAATTACGTGCCTCTCTTTCCCTGAGAGCTAGTTGTTAAACACTTAATAGCATACCACTGATTACATTTATTGTCCTCAAGTTCAAAAATCTGTCATAGAATTGATGCTTCAATAAGAATTATTTCTATTTGAGGATGGCCAGGGACTTTTTTTATTTTTTGCACATTATTTACTATAGTCTTCCACAGGTAATGTTATGAATCTGATACTCTAGCTGGAACTTTTCTAAAAAAATTGACTAGTCATCAGTCTCTCTTAGTTATTACTTTAAAAATGATACTACTTACTTTAAAAAAAATGATACTACTTACTTTAAAAATGATACTGACTTTAAAAAGGACAATATGTAATGGCTGGGGACATTTTTTTATGTTGGTGTTTTGTCTGAAATCTGAATTTTCAGTGATTTCCGCATAATATGATTATGTCTGCTCTAGAAACCGTTGGTCTGGCCTCTAAAATGTGACTTTTTCCTTGCATGGTAAATGCATACAAATATAAATTATTTTAAAATGCCCCCCAAATACCACATATCTAAGTAACTTAGAAGCTCAGTTAATTCATAGCATTAAACATGGTGCTTACCATGTTCCTAGCCATTAAAGTCCTGCAGATGCAGTTATGGTAATAACTGAGTATTTCCTCAGTGGCTTAGATTTTCTCTTGCTAATAATAGCTATCATTTCTCACGTACCGACTGTATGCTAAACACTGTGCTTGTCCCATCGTGTCCTTACAACAACCCTCTCAGATAGATATCAGAAGTACCTTACCGCAGGTCATACAGCCAGGATGTGGCAAATCTGGGATTCAAATCCAGATATGTCTGATTCCAGAGCCTGTCCCTTACCCACTGATTTAGACTGCCGCTTCAGAATGGTGGGCCTTGCAGGGCCCCATGTGGGAGATGTAAAGCACTGTTGGTGGATATCGTCAAGGGAAGATTGTAGGCACTCTTGTGCTTCAAGGACAAAGGAGGGTAAAAGCATCCTGGTTCAGGAATGGCGTGCTTCTTGCAAGCCGTGCCTGAACAATGCCAAGACCTTGGATGGCGAGTGATGCCCATAGGTGCTAGACTCAGCAGTTATGCCATAATGATATGGCCCAGCAGTTGGGTCACAGAGAAAAAGAAAATAAAACTATGGCGTGTGGCAGCTTCAAATGAGTGAAGACTCTCTAGGGCAAGGATTGTGTAGGACTTAATTTCCCTATATCCCAATGTCTCTAAATGAAGTCAGACCCAGAGTTTGGCGTCAGTTGAAATTGCTGTAGATCCTTCAGAATGTAATTGGGGAGATTTTTTTCTTTCTTATCAAAAGGAAGCAGTATAGCCTTTCCTTAGGAAAAGGCTTATAGGAATGTTGAGGTAGCAGTTGTAAATTTTTTAGAAAATCAGTGGGCAAGCTATACTATATAATTATTATTTTAAAAAATCATACAAAATCTGGCTACAAGGCTTCTCTAAGTGAAGTTAATGAAGTTTGTGTTGTGAGCTGGAAGCTTACTGGGGCTCAGGAAACGGCATGGAGAAACCTCTGGTTATTAACGGACACCGGCTCCCATCGTCCTCCTGTCCCCTCTGCTGTGGAAAGCTCCTCAGTCTCTTAGGTAGTACTGCTCCAAGGGCAGGCCACTGAGATGCCCTCATATCCCTCCTTCTGTCTGCTAATTCCAGGCTTAGCTTAGAGAACTGTGCTGCTTCTCCGAAGCCCTGGTGCCAAGAGTCTTGTGTTGGTGGGCATCCGCCATCCTGTGAGGTCTTGGCATCATTCAGACAATTTGCAGATAGCATGCCACTTCTGAACTACAGCACTCCTTGTCTCCCCCCAGAACTAGGATAACCCCTATCTCCACTCTATCTCTTTTCTACTGTTGGGTCACTTCCCTAAAATCTTCCCTTAACCCTCTGGGATCTCCTTGACCTTCTTAGATCATCAGAAACAACATGTTTTGGAATGCTTGTCTGGGTGGGGATACCTTCTCTCTCATCCCTCATCTCTTCCTTCCTTCCTCTCTCCTTCCCTCCCTCCCCCTCTGTCTTCTCTCTTCCTTTCTCTCTACCACTGTCTTGCTGGAGAAAAGGCCCTTTTGTTTCAAACTCATCCAAACTTTAGAAATAAAAGCTTGGGGGCACCTGGTGGCTCAGTCTGTTAAGCGTTGTCTGACTGGTGATTTCAGCTCAGGTCATGATTTCAGGGTCATGGGATCGAGACCCGCGTCGGGCTCCGTGCTCAGTGCGTGGAGTCTGCTTGTCTCTCTCTCTCTGATCTTCCCCCTGCTCTCTCTCTCTCTCCCTCAAATAAATAAATAAATTAAATAAGATCTTTAAAAAAAAAAAGGAAGAAAGAAAGAAAAGCCTGGCTACTGAGAATGGGAAGAGAATTCCTCTATGTCCTTACATATTTTCAGACAAGTCTAGAGCACTGAAGGGGGGGATAAACATAATGAGACATCTCTTCCTCTTGGGAGTTAGCTTCTATTGCTTACTCCCTCAAATGTTAGTCAGTGTGTGACTTCGAGTACAACCATAACACACTTTTCTAGTTGAGGATGACTAAGATAGCTATGATTCCATTTGATATATTGTCATCAAATCGGTCATAGTCTTGTGGGCATTCTTAATCTTGTACTTTAGTATTTATATAAAGTTCTAATATTTGGTTTTCTTGGATCAAAAAGTGTTAATGTACAGAGTAGGAAAAAAGTCGAATATGAATTTTTTTTCCTTTTTCTTGATTTCTCTCAGACCTGTATTGTTACACATTTATAAGCAGAGTAACTCATGACAGTTTGGGTCAACAGCTTTTTTTTTAAAGATTTTATTTATTTATTTGAGAGAGAGAGACACAGCGAGAGAGGGAACACAAGCAGGGGGAGTGGGAGAGGAAGAAGCAGACTCCCCGCCGAGCAGGGAGCCTGATGCGGGACTCGATCCTGGGACTCCAGGATCATGACCTGAACCGAAGGCAGTCGCTTAACCAACTGAGCCACCCAGGCGCCCGGGTCAACAGCTTTTGATTTCAGTTTAGAAGTGAAGGAAGAGGACCGATTCTCTGAGAGAGAGTTGGTTTTAACTCTCTGAATGGGAGATTGAGAAATCCATTCCTTGGCACTGTAGCTCTTGCTAGTGTAGGTTTTTCCCCAGGATTCCAC